GTCATGCATCCCGCCCACTTGACCTCATGCCCATCCTGGCCACCTGGGGAGAAGCCCACAGCACTGCTCACAACTACAGCCCGGTCACACCCAAAACAAAGTGGACACTGTAGATCGCGCCCAAGATCTGATCCGAATCCCGTTCTCCCTTCCCCTCCGCCCCCACCTTCCTTCCCTCGCCTCCCTTGCCATTCACCTCGTGTCCGGGGTGGCCCCAATCGGTTCTAGAGCCCGGGCTAGTGCGCCGCTACACTTCAGCCGCTACACTCACCTCTTTGATTCTTCCTTCCTATAGCTTTTTCCGTCGTATGCCGGTCGGAGCCCGGGACGCTGCTCTCATTTCTCTCCTCCTTTGCCTCCTCGCTGTTGACGGATTTGCGGTTCTCGTGTCGGACGATTTATAAAGAGCTTCGTATGTTGCAAGCAGGGTCGTCGGCTCCACACTGCCGTACCCTCCGGTCAGACAGCTGGCATGAGTCGAGTGCTGTCCGTGCCGTCTAGTGTGCATTGATTCGCAAGAAGCTGCCGGAGGACAGCGAGGATTGGTGGAGAATTGGAGTACGGGTCGTTGCTGGCGCAGCAAACAAGGTGCCGTCAGCGAAAGAGGCGTCCTTCCAGGAATCGATGTTAAGCACTGAGTTGAGGGGCATGGAAAGAAGATGACGAGCAGCCGGCCAGAACGGGGAGAAGAAGGTACAAGGTGGAACGATTGCAGACCCTATCTGGACGGGAGGAGATGTGGGAAGAAGCTACCGAGCTTTTGCGTGAGGGGCGATGTTTGAAGCCCCAAAAGCTGTCCATCAGCCAGCTCGTAGCGGATCAGTCAACCCGTGGAGTATCACCCAACGCTACTAGGGATCCCATCAAGAGATGGCGGGTGGCTGAACAACGACGCGTCAACGCGTGTGCTGAGGGAGAGATGAGCGCGCTAGGTATGAGAGGGTCTAGGCCGACGCAGACGGCAAGAGGAAGCAGTCGAACCGAGCTGAGTTCCGAAACGCTTGCCGTGCCGGATGAAAGGGGGGTCGCCCGGCGATGTCGTCGAGAAAACCCCACCTAGACTGAGACATCAAAAAAGGGTCAAGATGTCTCTCTGGCCTTCTGATGATCACTCATCTCCAACTTCATTCGCCTCGGCTATCGACAGGCGCCCTGGGATGTCTCCTGGGTACCTGATGTAGGTTTGATCCCCGGCATACGATGCGGCTACGCGGCAGGAACATTCAGCAATCCTCGATGGGGGGATGAGAGCCCTGGCATTATGTGATGATGGTCGGTCAATGGAGCGTAAGAGAGATTCTGGTCCCCAGTGGCTAGAAGTCGTGGCTTGCAGGGCCAGCTTCATAACAGAAGAGCAGAAACAAAACCATCTGATTGACACCAGCTCAGACCGTCGGGTGTGGCATGGCGCCATCCTTTCGATCAGATGATGTAGCCCGAGTGCTCGAGTGCTGCACACAGACGAGTCGGCACTCGAGTTGCCCGTGCTTCGAAGAGTATACATGGCTGTGCGCATCGAGCGGATTCAATGTCTCTGACGTCTTCCCAAAGCCAAAGATTGCGTTTGCTGCCCAGCGCCCACCACAGTCCTCTCACATTCCCTATCACTACCCGAGCCTGAAGGCACAGCAGGTTATGGGATCTGGAAGAAGTCTGAGCTGTCCCGGACCTTTCGTAACTGCGGCAATCCCTAGATAATGGTGGACCGACGCCACATGATGGTCCATTGTCCTGGAGTCGAAGGCAGAAGGAGTGAGTGTCACGAAGTGCGGTCGGTCGATGCTCGAGTACTCTGTACGGACGGGAGATCTAGCAAAGTAGGACAAGTAGATACATCTCGGGGGTCTAAGTAGTATCATACGGGTATATATAGTAGTAGTCGCCCAGCGCCCCGGTGGGAAAGTAAAGGCACCCTGAGTATGGGTGGCTGAGACACGGGTTTTAGGAGTATGTCACCGGCTCATGACAGTGAGGCCGAGCGACTGCTGGTCAGATCGGTCGTCGCCTGCTTTATCGTCGGGGCAGATCGTCGACCCCTGAAAGGAGAAGACGAAACATCACGCCCTGGAAGGGCTCCGTCACAAACACTCGGACATAGGGGCACGGGGCAGGAACATGTTTCGGTAAGGCCTGCTCTCTAGACATTTCGATTACACACACAGGTAAGCGCTGTACGGGATCATGAGTGGGTAAGGTATACCGACGGCTGCTCGACCGTGGTGGGTATCTCGAGCAGAGGGAAAAGCAGAGGTCGACAGTTCGACTACGGCGGCAGCGCGCTCGGACTAGCTGAGCAACTCTCTCAAAAGGCGCCTGCCCTGATTCTCCCGGTCCTGCACTTCTCGCTGCGCGTCCTCTTTGCCTTTCCCGGCCGGAGCCGCATGAGGCCTGAGCACGAAGCGCGTCGCCTTGGTGTCCGCTCTAGGTAGCACAAGGTAGTCAGGAAGACGAGTGTAACATGCATTACATACACCGGGTACAGTCGTCACCTGCACCCTCGTGCACTCACTGTCCATGTGACACCGTTCTTCTCGCTCAGAACGGGCTTGATCGCAATTTTGATGTCTTATCCGTGACGGGGAATGGTGCATAATCCCAGCCACCCCGTGCTAGCTCCATTGAGACGCGTGTGATGGTGAAAACCCCTGTGTACCAAGTCCTGGCCACAGGGCTCAAGGTGGTCACGTCGAGGGGTTAAGGCAGCATAGAGTGAAGTGGGATGACTCACCGCGTCTTTTCACAGGTCGGGTGGCATCACAAGTGTAGATATAATCCGCAATAACGAATGCCTGAACCACCGGAGTCTGTTGTCTGTCGTGTACGGTCATGCATCATAAGCCATCGTCACCCATACCTCCTCCCTACGCCTACTTCTTCTTGATCTGCTTTCTCGCGTCGTCGAACCTCCTCACAATCAACTGGCACTGCGTCACCGCGCACAGCTGCTTTGACTTGGTCTTCAGCTCATCGTTGAAGAGGTTCAACCCAGCGGCCCTCTCCACCGCCTCGACTGCCATCAGCGATGTGCTTGACCTATCATCGTCATCCCGAATACTCACCCGGCGCGATGAAGCTTCTGATATCCGCCTCGTCCGGGATCTCCTTGTTCGGGAGGATGAACGCGCCCATGGCGAGCTCTTTGATTGTCGACGGAGATGTAACGGTCGTGTCCCTGGGATTGGGCTTTTGAGGGTATGAGAAATCAGGTCGGGAAGCAAGAATGACTTTGGCGAAGTGCGTAGGGACCGAGATGGAGGGAGGGTTACCGATCACCTCGTAAGTCTGTGGATGAGCGTTCACCGGGAGAGAGATATGATGTGCACTAACCACTCGCCATTTGCCGTCAGGGTCTCGGTGAGGCATGTAGAGCGGGACACTGGGGTCAGAATAGCACGACGGATGCAGAAGGAAGCCGGAAGAAGGGACACACGTGAAGACATAGACGTCTTCGAAGTTGGTTGTCAATCGTCGGCAAAAGTCTTCGAGATACGCCCAGTCTGCCATCAGCAGGAAGCTCCGTGCCTCGTAGGGATAGCAGATACATACAGTGCCTGTTGAACCCGTCTCCGACCTGAGGGGCGATGTTCGACAAGTAGAACGTCTCGTCCATTGCTTGCTGGGAGATCTTCGCGTCGGCCGCAGGGACCCTGGGATAAGCTCTACAACATTCTCGCGGGACGATACAAGGAGGAGAGAGCGGAGGGACTCACATATGCCCCCGGTCATATCCACTCTTGAAGTCTACACGTCAATTCTCGGTCTCGAAGTACCACAAGCAGTGCGCATGGACATACAGTCGGCGAGCTTGGCTCTGAACAGCTCAGGGGTCGAGTCGTCCTCCTGGAAAACCGACTTGGACCGGTCGACCTTACCCGCCGGAGGGGAAGGAATGACATCCCCAGCTCTGGCTACCTCCAATGGCACCGGGTTGGCGTTCTTCGCTTGGGGAGGGGGGACACGGGCGAGCGAGGCCGCGGTGAGATGCTCGGCGGTCTAGCGTCAGTACACCACGCAACGATGGGCTTGCGCTCCCACACTTGGCAGCATGCACAAAGGGATCGGAGCTTACCCAGGCTGGATGTCTCTTTGCTCGATCGTACGCAGCAGTGTACGCCGTTCGCTTGATGATATCAGGTGTTGGGCCTATCATGAGTTTGACGAACTGTGCAAGTGTGGACGAAACCCCCCCCCCCGGCCTGAGGGTACATGGCCCGCCCTCATCTTGAGAACGTGAAAGCAGCTCCGACTCACCCGGGAATCCACCCTGCAACACCACCCCGCCGCTAGGAGTGGCAAGCGTCGACACCGTACCCCGGTAATTGCCCTCAGGCGGGGCAGGCGGGAGGACAACCTTCTCTTGCGCAGGCGTCACTTTACGGGGCCATAACGCTCCAGCGCCGACACCAACAGCGAGGCCTGTAGCGAACAGCAGCGAGGGACCCAGACCTGGCATCGTGGATAGGATGAAGAGGCAATGCAACGGTGAGATGAACCTTGGGCAAGTGAAATGTCAGAAAAAAAGGTCCCGGCCGCGCGTGTCACTGGCCGGTGACTACACCTCGCGTTTCATCATTCCCGCTCGTGGTGCATCTAGTTACACAGGTGACCACTTGTCCTCAGACAGCGGTCTGTGTTGCGAAAGTGCATAGCATCATGAAAACCAAGTCGTGCAACTCCTCAACGTTGAGGTGACGATGCGGCCAACAGACTATGGAGATCAGGTTATCCTCAAACAGCAGGAACGGGTCCGGCAACAATGTCGCACTGGCGGTAATCCTGTCTGTCGCATAGCCGTTCAACCTCTGGCAGCAAAGTCTCTGGCATAAAGCAGTATGACCGCTTCCTGCTTACCGACCAGCCAGCATGGTCCGGCTCTGCAGGCAGCCATCAGGATCGACCTGACCACTGGCGGAGTTATAGGCAGAATCCCCTTGACGTGCTTTCCGATTGAAGGCAAAGCACAAACAAAAACAAAAAGGATGAGCGAGTAAACGCTCTCGAATCCACAGTGGTGATCGAAACCACGACCTCCAGATGACTTCGAAATCAACTTATTGATTACGTAATTCGTAGTCTGGCGCACTACCACTGTGCTATGCGGACAGTCACTTCAGAAGTGCTGTTCATAATTCCGTGGAACGCATTATAACAATGACTCTCTCCGTCAGGTGCATCAGCGGACGGCATCTGATGGGCATTATGCATCGGATCACGGACAAAGGAAGGTGAGATTGGTGAATTTGAACAGAGCCTTCTCAACCTGTCAGGATAGTACGGTTTGGTGGCTCAGACGGTTTTCTGTATCTGCCGTGGCACCTTTGTCTCCCCCACGCACCCACTCCGCCGCGGTTGCGCATGAAATCGAGTGCGTTGACTTGGATATGTCTGAGCTGTGAGCGATCTTGCAGTGAGCTACAAGAACTCCTGAGTAGTCCGTGCTTAGGTGATCCGTCCTGAAGATCTCTGATCAGGCGTCCCCCTCCCTGACTATGTCTGTGTTTCACTCCCGATCACACCGTTAAGCGCCCAGCCCTGAACAGCACAGACAATACCAGTAAGTGAATTGACGAGAGGTCGAAAGGAGGAGTGCCTTGTGTGCATGGCGGCACAAGCGTCGATGGACTACCATGTCGGCTGTTTCCGCCACTTGTTGCCACCCTCCTGCCTCGTCACACCGAGCTCTCATTTCAATTATGTTCTTTGCTGAACTGTCCTGCGCAGGGGACATCGGTTCCGGTTGGGTGTTTTGAAAAGCGTTCGCAGGGGAAGCCCGAGCCACTTCAGGGTGATCCGCGTTGATCGAACAGCCGATCGCCGAGATCGCCCCGGAAGCAGCGAGAGTATAACCACGGGCAAGGCAGGCATCACGCAAGCCTAGTCGATGATGCTCGCCTTGCTCGATCGCAGTGCGGTCGACATCAAGGAGTACACCGAGGCGTGAGGGCAGGGCAGACCCATGAGCGCTAGGGAATGATTCATTCTATGCATAATGCACCCATGCACAAACCCATGCTACCCCCTCCAAGATGCGTACACTGCGTCGTCCTCCGGCCCTATGAATCTGGGATGAGCGTCGATCCCATATGCAGTCGTAGACTCACGGCCTGACCAGCCGGTTAAAGCTGTTATCGTTGTCCCGGATGGATTTTGGCGACAGATCCTTGAGATACTTCATTGCTAGACTCTCCCAGGCGTGGTAAGCATACTGGCCCGTCGCCTTGAAGTTGTAATCGTCGCGTTCATGCGTCTTCTCTATCTCGTTACCATGCCACATCGGCCAGAAGAAGGCTCGGTTCGAGAGCACCTGGAGTTCTGTTGGGTATCTTCGGGCGAGTTCCTGCGGAGTCAGCAGTCTTACACCTGGTGTGAGGTGGAGACGTACCCAAGATACTTCGACAGAATGATGGTCCCACGAGGAATCGTCGAACGTCTCGTACGCCGCGAGCCATCTGTCGATGAACGAAGAGTGCGGTTGCGATATGATCACCGCGTTCTGGGGATGAGCCTGGCGTCGGAACCACCATTCATGCACTCACACATAAGCCTTGAGGCTCTAGGTCAGTCGCTTCCGAATGAGGCGAGGCCTGCATGCCAAGGGTCGTGGGGTAGGATAGCAGGTCATCAAAAGGCTTGACCCTGAATGTCAGTCGTGATCATGTGGTAGGGGCGTCGCGGCAGAACGGCTACGCACACAAACATGTCAATGTCGAGATATATCCCTCCCGAGTGCTTCATCGCGAGCAGCCGCAACACGTCCGCCTTGTGAGCAAAGTGCCTGAGCGGTCTGCCGAGGTACGAGTCCGGCACGATCGTTTTGACCAGGGTGAGCTTCGGCTCCAAGAGCTCCCACCATGGCCCGGTGGGGAGATGCTCATAATGGCTGTACGCATCAGCCTCCTGGGAGTGCAAACGTCCTGACTCACAAGAACATCTTCTCCGGCTTGAGATTGATTAACGCGCTGCGAATGGCGAGATAGGCGTAGTATGGCAGCTCTTCCGGTTGTCCACCCGGCGGCACAGGTTTCAGACCGTAGACATAGTGCACAGCGTTGGGTACGACCATACCGCTGCGTTTCGGCGCGACGGGGGCGGGAATATAGTCTGGCCGTGCGGGAGGGGGCGGCGGGGGGAGGAACTTGCTCGAGGGAATGAGGAAAGGGGAGGTTGTCAAACCCGCCGGGCGTTGCGCATGGCCCGAGCCTGTCCACGAGGCGAATATGTATCCAAGCCCGACACACAGGAGAAGAAGCGGTACGAGGGGTACTGGCAGAGCATGGTTGCCAAAAGGGATGTTCTGAGCGTGAGCAACATGTACAGAAAACGCATGACCATGCGGTCGAAGACGTACGACCGGTCGTCCTCCTCGGATCCATAGGGGTAACATGGACCCGGTACCGCGAGTGGAGGTCAATGGCGGACTGCGGGACCGGGTTTTTATGCGCACATTGGGTAGCGGAATGGTGGGCACTGGATCCTGCGATGTAACAGGCGGAACGACAAGACTGGAGGATGGGGTTGCAAGACGAGATAATCGTCACGTCGAGCTGGCTTCCGACGGAATTATACTAATCCGGTCTTCACCTTCCGGAGAGCCAGAGTGCATCGTTCAGAACCAGCTTCACGGTGCACGAGTCACAACATACCCATCTCGTCTCCCATATGCGAGCCGCAATGCATCTTGGACAACCCATCGCCCATTTGCCCGTCAGTCTACAACAGTCCCTTCCCCCATGTCACACTCGCGCCCTACTCCTCGCTGACCCATCGCTCGGCAATCTCCCCGATATAAGGCAGCCAGAATCGACTCAACCCCTCTTGGGCATCCTTCCACGCTCTAAACGCGGTATATACGGCTGCGCCAACCGAAACAAGGATGATGATCACGCGTAGGAAATGTGGGAAGGGGATGAGGAGGTTGGTAAGGAGGATAAAGGCGAGCAAAGGGGATGTCAAGAGCGCGGATTGATACGCTGGAGATTAGTCGGGTAACTCTGGTGCGAAATAGGATGACCGGAAACGCACCATGAAATCGCACATAATCATTCTGAGTCTCCAAGATCAAGAACAACAGAGCTACCTGTTCAGTGGTGCCCCTGCGCCCTACACCCATCGTGACTCACCCGTGACAGGTCCACCCAGGTAGGCCACTGCGGCCATGATATCGATCCTCCACCCGAACCGGCTTTCCCAGGCGTTCACTCGATCGCCCTCTCCGTTGAGGTACGCGCCCTCCCCGCCCGAGCCGGACGCATAGGCGGATGACTCGGGGTCGTTGGAGTAGGCGGCTGGCACGCTGGAAGGGTCGGAAAGGGTACCTCCAGATTGGTAGGTGTTGTAGGACGATTGATCGCTGCGATGAGCTTGGACAGTCACCAACGGCTCGGGGAGAGGCGCGGGGCGAGAGGACGGGTGTTGCACAGCCCTTCTGAAGCGTAGCAGAGTTGGCGAGTTGGGAAGTTTATAGACTCACCGAGTGAACCAAGGCCTCTTGGCTTTGCCTTTGCCTCTACCGCCTAGGAATGATCTGGATGTCTCGGGAGGATCGGTTGACGGGACATCGGGTGGAGGTTGGTCTGGCAGGTGAGCCCGGAACGTGTGGGGTGGGAAGGTGTTGAACGAGGTGGGTGTGGACGTGACACTTACACGGTGCAAAGCTCATTCTTTCAGTTCAGTTGGGTCTTCCAGTCCCAGCCTCTCTATGCCTTGACTGTTTGACTGTGCGATTGTACGCTTGCTGCTGCTGTGGGATTGGGAGAGGGAGAGCGAGATGGTATTGACTGTCCGAGAGAGGAAGGCGAAGGGCGGGGGTGGCCATATGCGTCTATCCGAATTTGATTCCGTCTCCCCTCCCACCGAGGCGATGATGCGTCATGCATCGACCGTAGGCCCATCACCATTATCACCACCCAGTCGCAATGAGGATACATAGTCATTCATCTCACCCTCTCCATCCTCACCCTTTCCCATCCAACTCCCTCACATAGACAAGCCATAGCTCCGCACCTCACACCCGCACGGCCGTCATGGACGCTGCGCTTCTCAAGCAGATTCAAGGTGACTCGTCCCGATCCATCGCAGTCGCGTGTCCACTGACCGTACAGCCGGGAAAGGCTTGAAGAAGACTCAAACGAATGATCGATCCGCACCAGCTGTAGCTGGCAACGCTGGTGGTGGTGGCGGTGGAGGTGGTGGTGGTGGTGGTGGAGGAGGAGGCGGTCGAGCGCCCCCTGCACGCTCCGAGCCCATGTCGGGAGCTGACGGACCCGCTCAACAACTCGCAGGATTGTTCGCGGGCGGTATGCCCAAGCTGAAGAAAGCTGGGGAGAGTGCGTCGAGTGAGTGACTTGACTGTCTCGACTCTCGCCCGACCTGATGACTCATGTACAGCCGCACCTTCGAGCCTGGCCAAACCACCTCCGGTCCCAGGAAACCGGGCCCCTGCAAAGCCAACAGGCGCACCTCCGCCACCTCCATCTGTCCGCGCCCCCCCTCGACCGTCTGCTGCGCCGCCTGCACCTCCCCCTCCACCCCCTGGCGGTCCTCCCAAGCGCGGTCCACCAGCTCCGCCCGCCCCACCAGCCCCTCCGGGCCCACCCAGCAGAAGCACCCCAGCCCCCCCAGCTCCTCCTCCGCCCCCTCCTCCCGGCGGGCCGCCTTCACGAGGCGTTCCAGCACCCCCTCCGCCTCCACCACCACCTCCTACTGCGGCTCTACCAGTCAGAAGCACGCCTGCGCCCCCGGCACCCCCTCCTCCCCCACCCTCAGCTCCCCCGGCTCGTCCGTCTCATGCCCCTCCCGCCCCTCCTCCCCCAGCCCCATCCGCCCCAAGCAGGGGCCCTCCTCCACCGCCGGGCCGATCGTGAGTTTGATTCCTGTGCCTACAGACACCGTATCCTCCCTTCCACACCCCGGGCAGCTAACCCAAAGACATCCACCTGCTCCACCTCGCGTACCGCCCCCGCCCCCCACCCGAGCTGCTGCACCGCCCCCACCTGCTCGACCGTCGGCACCACCAAGAAGCCCGGCACCGCCGCCATTGCCTGGACGATCAGCACCGGCTCTGCCTGGAAGACCCGGCGGTGGAACTCCTGGCGTAGGTTTAT